GATCTTGAATTGGAGCATGAGGGAGCAGCTCCAGGATCCACCTCACAGCGAGTTAGGCGAAACATTTCTTTAAAAGGGTGATTCCAGAAAATATCCATACCATACCACGGGCGGCATCTTGGAAATCCGAGGGAGAGGGGGGGTTTCTTGGACTGGAATTCCGAAGACGTGGGGGGGTAACGCAGTTTGGAATTCCAAAGGCATGGGGGGGTGTTTCAGCTCTGAATTCAGTGAATTTCCAGAGGAAAGACGGCGAAAGCTCCGCTTGAAATCGCTGACCTGTTAACATTCCCAGTTTGTAAATGAAGCACGAACCGACCACGGAAGAAGTATGCGTTCATGCAGATGGGTAAGCAGATGGGTTGTGCAGCAAGCTCCACATCGAAGAGGCCTTAAAGTTGATGAATTAGTCAACTGATTAATAAAAATATAACCAAGTCGGTGTTTCTTGCCGATTGTCGATCGACGATGTGTTGTTGCGTGCTGAAAACTCGCACCAGTCTCTCGTTTCCACATAGAACGCCTGACAGATTTTGTATTTCACGCCGATTTTCACGCCAACATGTTGGTAGTAAAATCCGACAGCGTGCCTTTTGATGCACTGTTTAATTCAAAACTGTTTATGCGCAAGTGTTTTGATCATTCAGTTCTAAATAGTTATTTTTCCTCGAAATAACTATTTATTCCAGGAGCTGATATCCTTAAACGGACGTATATTTTAAAGTTCTATTAGGTGGTAAGTAGCTTAAAGATAATGCTTAGAAGGAATAGCTACGGTGTAACGTTAACAAACTTGAGTTGCTTGATCGTCTGACTAAAAATTGTGAACAGAATTCTTTTGCAGAGGGAAAAAGTGCAAGTTTCTCGTTCGTTTGAAGATTTAGGCAGACGAACAGGAATTCCAAAGGGTCTGAAACGAAAGTGGAAAATTCCGGAGGAGAGGGGGGGTTAGCGATTTTGGAATTCGGAGGGCAAGGGGGGGATAAGCATTTTGGAATTTCCGAGGGCAAGGGGGGGTTAAAATACTCATGCCACCCGTGGTAGGGTATGGATATTTTCTGGAATCACCCAAACTGAAAGCAAAGAGCAAGTGAGCAAGCTCATTGTCATCTGGGAAAAGCAAGAAAAAGGAAGGAAAAAGTGGAGAAAAGTCGAGGACAGGATCTGAAGGTAAAGAGCCAATTTTCTTTCAACGCTGTCAATGCATGTCCGGTTTTAAGCCTTGCTGTCATGTTGTTTCCTTAGACAAGAAACGTTAGTCCACTTTGTTTGTTCAGCCAGGTGTATAAATGGGTACCTTAGGCATGCTGTGTGAAGTTTGTTGAGAGACACACACTCTTGAGCAGCTCTATCAATAGGAGCCTGAGACAGTGGATTCCCTTTGGCTACCATGAGCATGACCCATGGCTACTTTCATAAGAAAATGGAATATAGAATATAGAACCAATACAGTGCTTGAAAAATCTTGAAGTCCAGCTTGTCCTTGGGGCAAGCAGCTCTCATATTTTGCTTGGTTAGAGCCACCTCTTCCTTGTCTTAGTTAATGATTTTATTAGAGGATCAGTTGTCTTGACCCTCATTGGGCAAGTGAGCCTTAAATCCACCTGACCAGGACTACTGGATGGGACTTGTTTTGAGCCCTGCAACAGAAATTTGTTTCTGTTCATTTCCCCGCCTACGTATTGTACATTTAAACATGTACGGTATATCCAGCAACTTGAAATCTGAGCAACAGCCCTGCTTGAGGAAATAAGCAACATTGACAAGTTTTTCATTTTTCTGTGAATGCTCGTTTATTCAAAGGAGACAATCAGTATTACAGTGGAACCTCGATATAATGAACCTCTGTATAACAAAGTCCGTGGTATAACAAACGATTTTCTTTACCCCAGTCATAGTAAGATAAGAGAAAGAACCTTGATATAATGAAACCTCATTGATATGGCAAACACATTTTGCCAGTTGCCTGGCCCTTCGTTAAATCGAGGTTCGACTGTACAGATGTTTCTTGAACCTTCTGGAAAAACCTAATTGGAAAAACAGGTTTTTCAAGAATGGTCTTTTTGTTGTTACATCTTACCTGTTTTCACCCTTTTGTCACTAACTGATCTGTCAGAGAGTTCTCTTGTATTTTGGCTCATAAATAAATTTCAAGTTTTTTTTGTAAACTTCCGAAGCTCTGGTAAATTTATTAAGTTGAATGTTAACAAGGGTGTCCTGTGATGAGCAAGCATCTCATCCAGAGAGGTTAGCTATACTCCTGTGGTATAAATGCTTCATGCTACAGAAATTAGGTTAAGCTCTGGCTGTTTGGGCTTCAAGATGTAGGTCTGCCTCTACCTGCTTTTGCATTGAGTTACATTGCTCTTTTGGATGTTAATTCTTGCCTTCGGTTGTGCTATAAATTAACTTTGTACTGTAAGTGACAAAATTCTATCCTTTCAGTAATAGTTCTTATATTTTTTAAAAGAATTTGTTGTTCAGGTGTACCAGCTGCTATACAACTATGATTTTTTGTAATGAAATAGAAAAACGGTTGTTTGTTTGTTTACACAAATCCTGATCAAATTTAATTATTTAGTTTTGCCTGGATTTGTGTAAAAGTTATTCAGGTAGAGGCCATAGAGTACAGTTGGGTCGTAATGACATGTTGTGGAGTTCTCAGACCATAGGATTCAAGTAAAACCGAGTAAACTGCACATGCAAACATTTCGCTAGATTGTTAAAGGTCCTCTTAGTTGTTAGAAGTCCTGGATAGTTATTTTATTCTTTGTTTGTCATATCTATTAGGTGATAAGGAGAGTAAAAGGAAACAGAAATCCCCTGGAACAGCTGCAGCAGCTCAAGTGGTTGTCATGAGAGAACTCAAGTGGGATCATCAAGTATGTACTATTAATTTTATAATTTATGCTCATTTAGCCCCAGTCACTCTGCCCCTATTTGTAAGTCGTTTGCCATAAACAGCCTAATAAACGTCTACTTCCAAATAAACGCCCCCTCAACATTGTTAAAATTTAATTAGATGCCCCTCTTTAATAAAGGCCCCTGTCTAATAAATAGACGGTTCCCCATGAGAATTACTCCACAATACTAGGAATCAGCAAAAAGGTGCAAAATCATTCAATTCATTTAGTTTCTTGCTTGATTAGCAAGGGTAAATGCGTATTTCATCTTGCTCAATGTTAAGTTAAAAATGAGGATAGACTAACGATGGCAACACAATAACAATGAACGAGGATTCTAACATCAATGTTGGGATTTGAAAAAGAACGATATGGATCTCTAGACGGCCTAGATGTATCAATATTGATGGAGTGGATATTCCACCATTTTTAAACTCTCTTGATATTTTTGTCGAAACAGGGCTCAAAATTGCAACTGATAGGGTTGCCAATGCGACTAACATTTTCTCCTTGGCGACTAAAAATTCTAGTTTAGTCGCCAAAGTGGCGACCAGATTTCTCTATGACTTAGATTTAAATTAAATTAGTAAAGTTAAAACAAACATTTCATCTTATCCTGCTTTGCTTTCATCATAAAAAATGTGCCAAATCGCATAAACAAAGCCAGTTTACCTCCAAATTTATACCGACTTCTATCCACGATATTTTCAAATCTGATGGATTGCACCATACTATGCAGGGCTTCTGATAGGTCACTGAAAAAAGTCAAATTTCACGGGATTTTTAGGGGCAAATTCGCGGAAAAATCGACCAATTTCGCGGGAATTTTTGGGATAAACTCAGCCAAAAATCAATTGGTAAAAAAAGGGCCGATTTTGTCGTTATTTTCAGAGAAAACTTTGTTAGAGATTGATCAGTTTTGCGCTGACCATAGACCAGCATTTTTATTGTTTTTCTAACAGAGAATCATTTGCTCTTTCAACAACTATACGCTCCAGAACTGAAACAATGGCAAAGCCTTTAACATCATGGCTAGTGCCCACTTTTTCGCAACATAATCTACGCCTAGTAGTTTCGGGATGTTGTTTGCACATTTTAGTGACGAAGTTTCAAGATAAATTTACAAGTTCACGGCAAGTAAATAGCCCCAGTAGCTGAGAAAAGTTTTGAATATGTTGTACAAATGTGTATTATTTTGAATAAGATTTCTACCGAATTTTGAAGTATTTTGCACAGTTTTGTGAATTTCATGGCTCTGCGACCACGCGAAATATCAGAAGCCCTGACTACGAGCTGTGTCATTTACATGATACAAACTGGCCACTAAAAATTTGCATCTGGTTTTTTTAATTTCGAACCCTGCGAAAGCATGTTAGTTTTGTTGAGCTTTTTACATTTATGAGAATAAATGCCTCTCTCTTTTAAATGCCCCGTAACTATTAAACGCCCCCACTTGGACCCCTAGAATTAACTAGATGCCTTGGACATTATTTTATTAGGTCCTTTATGGTACCCCCAAAATTAAGTCATTAATTTTTTATTATTACAAAAATTTAGGCAGGCCCATACATCTACGTGTACATGTAGATGAGATAACTTAGGCTCTTACGTTTCTGTTATCATATCAGTTTGTTACAAAAACAAGACATTTAGGTTTCAAAATAGATTAAGCTTATCCTCCTGTCTTCCTCACAGATTTTGCCGATTGGGCAAAAAGTGCAAGATCCACTTCTCCACCTTTGTGAAAAGTGCTCTCTCCCTATCCTTGTTTATGGCCGACTGGTATGTATAACAAGTATTTACTTATGTACTCCTTTACCAGTATGCAAAGAAAGCTGTGTCCGATAGCCCGGGACTAGAGGATTTCGGTTATCAGGCTAGTGAATTATATGTTCTCAATTTACCCTATTGGCAAATGAATTTCTTTTCGGAAATTTGCATTGAGAAGAATTCTAATCAATCCTGCTCATTAATGACTCTTGGGCTAGTACATGCTAGTTGTAGCTTGCACGAATGGCAAGCTGTAAAACTGACTTTCTTTGCACCCTGTTTACTCCTCGAGCTAGTTAATGATATAATGTCATGATGTATGAATGCACTGAAGCTCTTGTTTTTGAGTCTGGATGAAAGTCTTGGTGTTACCATTAAATGGTAAATTCTCTTTGGTGGTTCCAACCTCTGCAAGATCATTATTTTTGTGGAATAATTTTTCTGGTGTTTTTAGTTTTTCATTTTTATAACTCCATTGTTATGCCACTGGTGTACATTGTATCTCCCATGGTATGTCGTGATCAGTATTTTGTGTAAAGAGCCTGCTGTACTTGAACTGCTGTCAGTAACAAAATTGATGTAGAATTTAGTGGTATCCAGATCATCGATTATAGTGGATTATTGATAAAAAAAAAAACCTTCAGTAAATGGATATTGATCATGGAAAATGTTCACATGAATATCCCCCCAAAATAAAAAAATATATATATATAGCTGACAAATCAGGTCTTTTAGTTATCTTATCTTTTTAAGAACGCTTTTAATTTAAGATCACCCTAGGAACATATTTCCTACATTTTCTTTTCATTTGGCTTTTATTTGGTTTTATTCATATTTTTTATTTTTATTTGTTTTAAGAATATTGTAAATTCTAACGCATAGCTCAATTTTATTTTAGAATTTTTAAACAGTGCATTGTTGTTAGTTTATTTTATTATTATTTTTTTAAGTAATATTATTGTTGTTGTAAAGTACTATTGGACAACAATGGAAATGGAGCCATAGAAGTAAATGTTATTATTATTATTATTATTATTATTATTATTAGAATATTAAAACTTGGGTGCTGTATTTTAAATGTCTCATACAGTGATGCAATCTTTAATGCATTGATGACCCTATTCTGATACCTTCCATACATGTATGTTTTTGTCATGTTCTAAAATGTGCAACAATTATGGCTCTACTTAATTCTCTCCGTTGGTTTGTTAGGATAATTTTGTCACACTCGATTGTGCACATTGTGTAAGATGGGTAAAAGACACGTGGGTAATCGGTAATTGTGACCTTTCACGCGAAAACGTACAATAACAGCTTTCCGTTTTCGAACGGAATTCCGTTTAGAACCCGTTTGGAAGCCGTTTGAAGGAAATTTGCATTCGTTCGAACGACGTGGGTCATCCGTTCAAAAAAATTTGCATCCCTTCGAACGGCTTCATCACCCGTTCGATAGAAACGTCCAGCCGTTCGAATGACTTACTCACCCCGGCGTTTGGTAAAAGCATCCATCCGTTCGAACGACTTACTCACCCGTTTGTTAAAAACATCCAACCGTTTGAACGACTTGCTCACCCGTTCTCTGGAACATCCATCCGTTCAAACGACTTCAGTATGAGACAGTCATACGAGCGGTTGTCTCATCCTGTTCGCGTACTCGCATGTTCTTGATGATGTCTCTTACGGAAAAAAGCCCTCCGATCACTTGAACAGTCTGCCAGCAGATTACGCCACAATCACAAAGTATCTCCAAATAATGTAGCTCGTAAAGAAACAGTCCACGTAGAAAAATCGAACTACAGTGTAGTTAGCCTGGGATCCAAAGGTTTTTGCTTCTGAATGCCGATTCAGAAGTATTGTTCTTGCGTGATCTGTGAGCGAAGACAACTTTCGTTCAAAGCTCACTCTGAACCGCTGCGTGAATAAATTACAAATGAAAACTACGATATTGTAAATTTCTTTAAAAACTTCTCGCAAAGTTATTATTACAGGCGAAGAGCTCTTGCAGAAAATATATTTTGCGCTTCTAAACATACGGTAATCAGTCGCCTATAGAAGCGAACTTCTTAAATTCTGCCCTGTGTTACAATGCGCTTTAATAAACATTACCGGTATAACTATGGTTGTGATAAGCACATAAATGATTTTCTGAACACTGAAATCTCATGAGTCTGCCTTGTGCATTCCTCTTATTTCGAAGAGAATCCACTGAATGAAATCTATAAGACGGCAGCATTCACTGAGATAACAACCATGTTGTTTTGGAAAGAACAACTTCCTTCGAAAACTCTTCACAACACTGGCCGCCTTCTTGTAGAAATTTTGTCACTTTTGCTATGATTTCTTCGCTTTTGAGCACGTCAAGCAGATCGCATTCAGCCATGATGAATGTTTTCACTCTAAAGAATAGTTCCTGCGAGAGACGTGTAATTATGATTTAAAACGAGCATTTAGTGCAATTGTAAGTACAGCCCAAAATTCTTGGTGTATGGAAAAACACTTTCTACATGACTTGTACCCTTCAAAATTAATAATTTATGCCTTCCTTGTCTTTATTTCAGAGTCCATGCAAACACTCTTTCTGTTACACACTGCAACTTGCTTAATCACAAGGCACTTCGGAGTTCTAAACTCGCTCCAAAGGGTTTGCAAGTCCTGCAGCTTTACAACCAATTATTACATTCAATGCTATGCCACTAGAAGTGTGGCTGGCTTTGGTTGTTCATATAATTTTGTCTAATTTGCTTAATCACAAGGCACTTCGGAGTTCTTAAAAACTCATTCCAAAGGGTTTGTGAGTTCTAGAACCAATAATAGCTGGAATTTTTTTGGAGGTGTAAGCAGGACTTGAATTTGGGCCACATGGCAAAAAAATGATGAAAAAGAGACAAAATTCAAAGTTTTGATTGACGTACTGACAAGCCATGCAGCTGAGTTGTCGTTGCCTTTCCTGGGTCCAGAGTTATGTTGCCAAGATTCAGCATATAAGTAGTCTCCCACCTCCCTGTTTTTGTCTCGTCACACAACGCTCCTCCCTCCTCCCCTTTCCCCTCCCTTTCATGGGGAGTAGTGTTGTGTGACGTGACAAAAACGGTTGCTTGAGAGACTAGCTTACAATAATTAACGGGAATAATATCCAAAATGGCAGTATTTCCAAAAATTGCCCTTCATCAGGGTCTCTGAAGTCATGTGAATTTTACTTTAGGTGTGGGGAAAGTGTTCAGAGGATTGAGTGAGCAGCGCTGGGCAGTGTGTATGTATACCCGCTTGTATAGCAATTCCAAGGAATCAAAAATGATGATTTTTCCCTGTCTTGTTTCGCAATGTCTTTTAGGTCTCATTATGTTTGGAGGGGAGTTTTTGACAAGTTTTTTTCCCAGAAGCTGGGGTTCAAGAACGAATGAAAGAACATGGGAAAGATCCACTATGGAAAATCAAGTATGAACAACATTTTATATATTTAAGAATTTCCTTGATTGAGTCAAAGTGATGTTATAAAGTCATTTGGTTGATAAGACCAAGTATGAAAATAATATTTTTGAGGGGAAGAGTTTGTATTTTCAGGTATACTTCTAATGGAAGTACACTATTTACTGCCTGTGACAGAGGAGTTGTTCGCAAGTGAGTCATACTCTGTGGTAATTGACATGCATTAAGTGATCTCTTGACTAGCCATTAACAATATTAATTTGCAACTATTCTTAAATCAACAGATGTTGATTGACTGTTAAAACTCTAAAAAGTAGCCCCTATTTTGTTGCCACCCTAATTTTAGCCAGGACTACTAAAATTATCAGTAAATCATTGAAAATAGAACATCTGTAATATACATCTATCACCCGAAGGGCAGGTAAACTAATAGTGGTGGATATACCAAAACGCGAAGTATCGAGGTATATATCTAGCGCTATGAACCGACTCTGAGGGGGTAGTTGTATTAGACTAGTATTCACCAAATCAGTTGGATAAAACTGAAAAAAGTGACTTTTTGTAAATTAAAAGCGTCACTTAGTAGCAACTTTGTTTTCAATTTACAAACATTTCAGGGATTTTGTCAAGTGCGTTTTACGATTTTGTTGCAAATTCCCCTGCTTTTCCCTTCCTCCCTATCCCCTACCCCTTTCGACGCCTGCTATGCAGGCTATTACAGTCCCTCTATTTCTCTCGCCTCCTCCCAAACCGCCCCCGCCGCCTAAGTTGTTTTGACACTCATGCAAGATGGCAGCTTGTAACGCAAAGCGCCCGATCTCGACGATCTTACTGAAAAATAGAGGACTGTGAACAGTCTAGGCCAATCGTGAGGCGCATAAGAAACTCGGAAGAAATCCGCCTATCAGAAACGCTCACACATGTCCTTGCAATTCTGCAGGATATTAGAACGAGTTTTTGTGCACTAATTCGCAGACGGACTATACAAATAGTTTATAAGACGAGTGCGTGAGCCGGCTGCAACACAGGCTGCTTCCCGGCTACCGGGCATATAGCTCGGGCATGTAGCCACAACGTATTATAATTTGACCCCACATTATCCAGAATTTCAGACGATTGCTTCGAGTGGTTTTTACTCCCTCAGCTGAAGGAGTAAAAACTACTCGAAGTAATCGTGTAAAATTCAGGCTAACCCGTCATATTGCTTTATTATTAATTTTTCCAATTTTTTATGGATGGCTGCATTTCGGGAGCTATTTCTCGAAGCACTAAAGTCACTTTTGTTGACTTAATTTGATCAAAATCGAACTAAATGCTAAAGGAAGGGAAAAATCCCATAGGTTTAATTTCTTCTTGGTAGAAGATTGATTGTTGCTTATAGGTACGTTTTGTGCAAGTCTGGTTGTTATGTGAAGGAAAATGTACTTGACTTTTATACTGACTTGCTTTGCAAAATATGATTTCCTCGTAGACTTTTTCGTCGTGACAAATCAAGCGAACTATCAAGACTGCTCGGGAATTTATAACTGAGGTAGGCATTATATTAGCTGAAGTTATACTAGAACTACACGGTTCCTTTACCTTAGAAGGCATTTGGTCATTTATCTCGCGGAAACGTTTGTCAAAGTATCCTATCTTCATTTAGAATAACCAAGCGATCAGGAAAACACAACTCGCTTCGCAGCTGAGCGATTGTGGTTTCTTGGGTATAGAGTACAGTCAACGCTGTCAGACGCTAGGAATAATTTCGCGTCAGTCAGATAATAAGCATAATTCTCTTTCCCCAATATGTTTCGTTTCGCAGAATAGAATAAGCCGGGCGTTACTCACGGGCACGATTTGAAAGAAGTTAAATACCCACCAGTCTCAAAGCGAACCTGGAAAGTGAAAACGCCTTCTCTTAAGCTCCAGAATACATGCATATTAGCCATTATGCTCAAATTTTCGAGCATAATAATTATGTCTAACCCTAATTTACAGCGTCGAAACTACTCTATGCCCGAGAAACCACAACACCTCATCTGCGAAGCCATTCTTGTTTTCCTTATCGCTTGGTAATTCTAAATAAAGATGGAATACTTTCAGACGATTAGAAAGTACTATAAAAAGGGATTTTGCAGAAATTCTAGAAAATTTTCTGACTGCCGGGCATGCATAGTTTTTTTTAAGACCCTTCCCGGGTGCCGAGCACATAGCCACAGCACTTTAATAACTGTATGTATTTGATTTAATTTGACCACTCTTCAGCCTGAATTTCAGACGATTGCTTCGAGTCGAAGTAATCGTCAAAAAATTCGGGCTAACCCCTTGCTTTTATTCATGGATGGCTGCATTTCGGAAGCTATTTCTGGAAGCACTTACCTCACTTTTGTTGAAACTGAAAACTAAAGGAAGGGAAAAATCCCATAGGTTTAATTTCTTCTTGGTAGAAGGGTTGATTGTTGCCTATAGGTAAGTTTTGTGCAAGTCCGGTTATTTTGTGAAGGAAAATGCAATTGACTTTTATACTGACTTGCTTTGCAATATATGTTTTTCTCGTAGACTTTTTCGTCGGGACAAATCAAGCGAACTATCGAGACTAATCGAGAAAATATAACTGGGGTAGGCATTGCATTAGCTGAAGCTATACTCGAACTACACGGGTCCTTTATCTTAGAACGGCATTTTTCATTTATCTCGAGGAAACTTTTGTCAAAGTATTCTATCTTCATTTAGAATAACCAAGCGATCAGGAAAACAAAACTCGCTTCGCAGCTGAGCGGTTGTGGTTTCTTGGGTATTCTCGGTTTTCACTGACTCATGTGAGAACGCAGAAATAAAAATGGAAACCTTTAAATACAGAAAGTCTAGAATCTGGGAAATGAGAGAAGATAAATGAACAAAACGCCTTGCAAGAATCAGGTCTATGCAATAGTTCATATGCGAGATATTCGTAAAAACGTTTGACCCAAATTTATGAAGCTTTGTATGGAGACGCCATCATTGTTTGTGTCCCTTTCAGGGGCACAAATATGGCTGCCGGAAACCAACATAAACATCTGTTTTTGAGTTTTCCTACTTATTGGTGAATTCTTCGCTTGAGGAACTCATAAAGATTAAAGTGATATTCACTCTAAGACAAGGAATGTTTAGATAGCAAAATCTCCAAAAATCCGTAATGTTTTTAACCCACATAAGAGCTTTCCCGGCCGCCAGCTAAAAATGCCGCGTCACGCAAAAGCCTGGAAATTCAAGAGTCCCGTATCGAAAAACAAAGAACCAGTTTGAACCTAAATTTTTTTTTGTGTAAAGGTTTTAAGGTGCTCTAGTATCACATGAAAGTAGAAACTCAGAAGAAGCGATAGTTTCTTAGTTTGAATTTTGGTGACGTCAAGTGAAATCCAAGAATTCTTGGTGTGGGGTGTGCCGCCCGGTTCTTTAAATCCTGACCCGATATCAGACCAAAAAATGTTATTTCCCACGCCCGTTTTCAGAATAGACCTCTAAAATCCATACCCGTTGTCAGACCTGGCATTTAGGCAGAAATTATGTTATCTACGCAAACAAAAAAATTATTCAAATCCATTTCGAATTCGCATATTTTTCTCTCTTTCTTACTCATTTGGAATTGAAACGATAAAATACGTTCCTAGACTCCGTAGATCCATCGAAAACCATACCCGATTCCAGACCAAAATGGGCAAAGTGTGTACCCATTTTCAGACCAAAACGGCGCAAAAACCCTAAGGTCTGCCGGATTATGCTCGAAAAATAGAGTATTATGCTTTCGGGTGTCACCCGTGAAACTAGGGTATTATGCTCAAAATTATGCTCGACTGGAGGTATTATACTCAAATTATGCCGGACTAAAATGACACTTTCAATGGAATCAAACCACTATGAGATGACGCGGCGTTACCAAAGCTTGTCATTTTCTTAAAATATTAGCCAATTGTGTGGCTAGCATGCTATTTCACTGTTTTTATGATTCTTAAAACTGCTTTTCAAAATATTTCGAAAACGCTCTCATGGAATTTGTTCAAACTTTGCCATAATTGAGGCAATTATGGCAGGTACATTGCCTAGTCCCTAGGCCTCATTATTATGCGCGGCCGATGCGTTTCGGGTCACGTGGTCCGAGAAAGTTTTTGAGTAGGCTTTTGTACATTACGCTAGCATTTTTTCGAGCATTTTAGTGAGGCAAAGGCATTGAGCATTATTCGAGCATTTTAGTGGCATTTTACCGGAAAGTTAATTGTTTGCGAGAAAATAAAATAGAAATTAACGTTTTTGAGGAGCCCATGGCCATGGGCTGCTGCTTTTTTAATGAAAATGAAGACTAAAACTCAAAATTCACGAAAAAACCTAATATAGCTGAGTGGAGAGTGAGGACAAGTCAGCGGTTTTACCTTTCAAGACTCAAGAGTAAATTAATAAATAAAAAACGTTTGTATAATTGCTCATATACCATAACGGCTACGCCAATCAAAATGCTAGAATTGCATTATCCAATGATTCAGTTTTAGCGACATTTTTGGGGGAGACCGAGCTTTTTAGTGTGAAAAATGGAGCATTAAGGTGGAGCATTTTAGTGGGGAAACAAAAGCAAAAGCCTATTTTTGAGGCCTAGACAAACTCGGAGAAGTGCGACATTTTGTCTCACTTGGGGCGGAGCTTTTGGAAGCGGGCGAGCTGTCAATAACTTTTCCGCGATGATGAAAGATGTCCAGCAGCCACGGAGAGTACGGAGCATTTTTATTCTATGCACGTTTTCATTGTTGAAAGTCCTTTGGCCTTTCTTATTCATTTATTTCATTAAACTAATTTGAACTTTATCTCACCTCAAAAACTATTTGTAGGCTAAGCAAAACAGCGTCGCAAAAAAATTATTTCATCAAGAATCGGAAGGTAAGCTAAAGAAATAAGTTTATATTTATTCTTCGATATTAAAAGCTGTCTTTCGTTTCTCTATTTTCGCTTGCTCCTATAAATTTCTCGTCATCATTTCACTTCGAAATATTTTATGTAATTTAATT